AAAAAAAAAAAAAAAAAAAAAAAAAAAAAAACTGCAGCGAGGGTAAAACATCCATATCAATCACAGCAGCCGAAGAAATACAAGAAAACAGGCACAGAAAAGTCCCTCAGAGTCCATGCTGGTTCAGCTCCTAGCTTCTCCTGTTACTGTTAACTGAACCATGCTAGTTTCCGGAAGTCCGTAATCACGTAATTACACCTTTAATGACGCATTTTAAAATACATTTCCAATATTTTAACTATTTTCACAATTTCAACCGCTTTTCTTCCATACCCTCGTGTACGGCGTGGATCTGTTGTTTCGGTTGAAGTTGCTCTGTCGGCCCCGCGCCGGCCTCGACGGCCCGCCGCCTCGACCTGAGCCTCCAGCCCGGGCGAACGTTCCTCTCCCGCGGCCTCCACCTCCGCCTCCTTTCTTGCTCATCTTGATAATGTCATCCAGAGACATGTCCATCTTATCACCCATAGCGCTGTTCAAACTTCACCGACAAAGAAGACGGACAAAGACTACCGACAAAGCGTGCAGAGGAGGCTGTTTATAAGCTACCGGCGGCGCGATGTTGAAATTGACGGAAATGACGTCAGAGGAAAGCTTCGCTGACGCAGAAGCTCCGCCTTTTGAAAAAAAAGACACTTTAATAGTAAACGATTAATATGTAAATGAATATGTAGCATTTTCTATATTTAAAGGATAAGTGTGATATATAATATTTTTACATTTCCAAAACACAATGAAGTATCAAAAACCGTTTTGCTTGATATAAGCAGGACAGATTTAAACAGAGAATTCGGTTCAGTTTTATTTACTTTTTTTTTTTACATAGCACCAAATCGCACCAACAGTTGCCTCAAGCACTGAGAATAAAACCTACAAAAGACAAACGTTCAATTTCTGACCATGAAAACTACAAATAATTAAAAAGTAATATTTGGCAGGGAATATCGTAAATAAAGCAGCTCAAAGCTTGTGGCCATCAAAAGATTTAAAAAAAAAAGTGATTTAGGAGAAGATTTCAAGGAGGTCCCTGACTCCACAAGCCCTAAATTTTTATGGTTTGGTTGATGGCAAAAGTTTTTATTACCATGATGATGGACTTCAAAGGCCTTGTGTTGGCATCTGAGACATATTGGGTCAACATTTCTGCTTTCTAGCTCCAGACACAAAAGTTCTTTAAAAGCAATCAGTAAAATGTTTAAAGTGATTCTAAAAAATATAGGGAGCCAGTGTAGAGAAGCCAGAATCAGAAATATTTAGACAAACTGTTTTGACTCATTCTTATACAGTATTCTTCATTAAACTGTTATATGTAAGTGATAGATTTGTTTTAACTGAAATATCGCTTTGTGAATGTTTATGAAAAGTTAAATTCAAGTCAACATTTTAAAAGAAACAACAATAGTAATAAAAAGAGGTAGCGTTAATATGACAGAAGAACACAAATCAATAAGAAGTTCTTCTTCTTACCGGGATTAAACACAGCAGAAAAAAAAGGAATCAAACTTTTGAAAATTATAAATATGTTATATTAGAAGATCCGCTCTGATGTAAATTATGATTTTTTTCTCATGCAATTTAATAGTTTGACATTTTCCAAACACAAAAAGCACCAATTTTATACATGCAAATAAAATCTGAGATTGTGTACTAGCTGCATTTTCACTGTTACTGCTGAAGTAGTTTAGTAGTACTTTGATACCACAGATAACAAAGTTTAGCAACATAGTTTCGGTAACCTGTAACCTGTAAGCAGCACTGTCAACAGTAATAGAAAAAACAACAATGACCACCCAGAGCTGTTACTGAACTGCTTTCAAACATTGCCTGAGGATTTCAGTTGGTGGCTTTAATTTGCAGAATAATTCGCATTACACTGAGAGCCTAACCGTTTATGTGTCTGAAACCCACCTACAGGCCCACACCTTTTCCTGCATCCTCCTGACTGTTTACATGTTTCACACCACTGGTGCTTCTACAAAAACTAATATTCAGCAACAAGTGTATTTAAAAATGATGAATTTAATCAATCCAACAAACCAATAAGTGAATTAGTTTGTTGGATTAGATGTGATATTCCAGTGATTTATTAATTTAATGAAAAGTTTGTTATATTTTCTGACACTGATGTAGAAAACATGTTTGATTTACTGTAAGTTTTAAAATGATGAAATGATATTGATTGTGGACCTACGTAGAGTGATCAGGTGATCCTTCTTTTTGTGGGACTGTACAGCCTTTTTATCCCGCAGGCAGAAACCTTTCTAAAGTGTTTTTATTTCATGACTGAAGAAAACAGCAAAGATTCCTGCAGGTCAACATGTCAGTACAAAGGTCACTACAAACACACTCAGACATTGGTGGGACATGACAAAAACTATTACAAAGAAAAGCAAATGCAGCTACAATAAACCCCTAATAATTCATTCAAACTGGTAGAAGGTTATTGATTCCTTTGAGGATTTTAATGTTTGGAGTTCTGGAGAAAGCCTGGAGCTCAAAAAGATACGTGTTGTTCATTCAAATTGAAATGATTACTACACATTACGTCTTAAAAACCTTGTGGATTATTGGAATTAAAAAGAGAATACTATAGGGGACTAAATTTTAGTTTCTTTAATGCTAATTGTATTTACCTAGCAGTTTCACCCAGCTGAACAAATAAACTGCAAATTAATCCACTCAAAAACATAGAGTTAACTTGTTCATAGGGGATAATCCGATTTCTTGGGTTTTCTCAGAGATACTTTACCTTGGGTATAAGCTATCATAATGTTCATAAATCTGATTTTAACCACATTGAATTGATTTGAATTTGATGTGTATAACTGCCACATGCAGCAAAAAGGAAACATTAGTTATGAGGTTAATGACAGTTTCCAAGCAAAATGTATACGGTGAGATCATCACCAGGCCAATTATTTGATTTTACGCTGTTTAGATTTGAGTTTACGGCTCTGTGGAACATAAAAGTGTCTGATGATTATTCTCTTCAATACATCATGTCAACCAGTTAACCTTAGAAAACTAGTCCTGTTAGCTCTCAGTGTCAGTGAGGAATACTCTTTGAGAGTTCTGGCAAAATACTTAAAGACTTTCTTTTCGATTGCAAGCTGTTAAAGGAACTCGTAGCAATAAAACTGACAATGAACGTGATATAAAGAAACTACCACAGCTACAAACAGGTAAACCAAATCTTTCAAAAGGTCAGGTTTGGCCCCCGTGGACATGACATTGACATCTGTTTGTGTTTTTGCTGTATAATCAGCTATTTCCATAAACGTACTTTCATTACAAAAATGTTTTGAATAAAGACCAAATCAAATGAGGAACCTGTAAATAGAAGTTACAAGATGTTAGCCCGCTTTCTATCACGCCACATTTCTTACCTTTGATCTTGTATCTGCACTAATCTAATTAATCTGTTGATTAGAAACATAAACTACCACATCAGCGGTCCATTAACTTAGCAGCCACACCTACTAACAGTTGAAGAATAACAATAAAATCCATTCAGATCCTCTCACTCAACTCTCTCAAGCAACAATTATATATCTTCAGTCGTTGACCTTTTAGTGTGGAGTCACTGACGTTACAATCAGATCATCGCTGATCTGATTGTAACGTCAACGTCAACTGTCCTTTTGAGTTTCACAAACCTGTCCACGGACCCATCTCTTATCTCTTATCCCACACCTCTCTGCTCTTTATCTGTAATTTATCCACTGCTGGATTCAAAAAACAGATATTGTTTAGTTTCTTTCTTTTACTTTGTTTCATGTTGGAAATTAATAAGTATATTCTTGAACAAAAATATGGTTTATAAATAAACTGTATTGACTTATTTTTAGCTTTGGTCAAATTAAATAGCAGCATCAGTTTGTTAGAGCTTCGGTAAAGCCCGACCAAACTGGACCATGAATAAAATAAGGCTTGATGAGTCGAGGAAATCACAGTATTGAAGTGAAAGCATGGAAACCAGTAAACTAATAAAATTTATTATCTTAGTATTTCTGATACAAAAGCTATACCTTCACTAGCTGAAGCAGATGGCCTCCCCTCTCTGAGCCCAAATCTGTCTGACATTTGAATTTTTACATTGCAGTTTAAAGTGATTTGCATCAACTGCTTTTTGGCAGTATTAAAAACAAGAAAAATTAAAACAACACCCTCGATAACAGCTTTGTAATGAAAATATATGGGGCTAATTTAAATGAGTGTTACTATTAGAAATATCAGGCACACAAAAATGACCACTATGACTGACAGATTAAAAAAAAAAAAAGGAAAATTTCTGAGCCAGAAAAATCTGGCAGACAGCTGGACGTAGCAGGGAATGTTAGCTCAGATCAGAAGACAGCTCACTTTAATGAAAACGAGCTCACAGTTCTTTGAGTTTTCAAAGTTAAAGTCACAAATGAAAAGAACACAAAACTAAAACAAAAGCAACATGTTAAGTAGAAATGAAAAAAATGACACCTGTAATTTGTATATTTTTAAGAAGCAGTCCCCAAATAAAAGGAAAGTAAGTATACATTCAACTTTGTGAACCTTGTGTTGCACTTTTTTGCAAAAAAAAGTTAAAATTTTCTGCAAGTTGACTAATCAGGGAATTATGTCATTGATTGCACTGTTTTAAGTTTTACAGGTCATCACAAAAACTACCTCAGTATGAACCTCTCTAAAACCCTAGATACAAACTAAACATAAAAGGGCAGAGTCGCCTCTATTTGTTAAGGAAACGAAGATCTCCCGGCATCCGCAGTAAATTGCTGGAGATGTTCTGTCAGTCTGTAACTGCAAGTGTGATTTTCTATGCTGCGGCCTGCTGGGAAGACAGCATCAGAAACATGGATGCAAGGAGGCTGGGCAAAGCAGTGAAGAAAGCTGGCAGATTGGACACACTGCGGGTGGTACAGGAACAGAAAAACATCAGTACTGGATGATCATTCGCACCCACAGCCATCAGGCTTTTAAATTCTCAGACAAATAGGACATGAGTTATGTCAGACACTCAAGTTTCCCTTTGGGATCAAGAAAGTTATTCTCATTCTTATTAATGCAAATGTTCTGGCAGGAAACCCAATGTTCACCAGCTGAACAATGAAATGAAACTTGACTTTTAAACAGTCCAAGAATGAGCAAATCAGAAAGCCAGCGAGCCTTCATCTCCTCTTTTGAATTCAGTTTGTAATAACTTCTGTGCCCTCGTCCTTTCTTTTCATTAGTACATTTTTATTTATTTTCCCATTCCTCACACTGACCAAAATTTCTCACAGAATAAATAAATAAATAAATAAATAAATAAATAAATAAATAGACAAACGTATCCAAAGATAAAAACAAACAAATAAACAAAAACAAACAATCAAAAGTTGGAATCAGCGCGCCAAGGAGTTTCCCCTGGTGGTCACGTGACTTCCATCCTAGGATACCTGTGAAAAGTCGGTAAAAGTCAGATTTCTGAGGCTTGCGATCATTTTATGTTCATTATATTCATTATTTATTTATCGAAATGGTTTCTTAACTTTGTTCATAAATATCTAATTATAAATTATTTTATAAATGTCTGATTAGTAGCCAGCGAATGTGGCTAAAATTTTAGCTAACTGTGCAGCAGAAAAATGGCGACTAACGGTCGTGAGGAGGAAAACACTGCTGCCGCTGCCGATGCTGCGATCTGGAGGCAAAGGCTGCTCAAATGCTGGAACTTTGTCCTGGTCAACAAGTTTTTGTTCCTAAGTGTGTTGGGGGTTGCTGGTGGTAAGTGATGACTGGTTAACCCACCAGTTAGTTTGTTCTGAGCGGTATGGTTTTGTGCTGCTGTTAAATGTATTTTAATTTCACTTTATTATGATTATTCCAGGTTATTGTTTAGCTGCACAGCGCTCTGTGACTAAATGTCTGTGGAAGTGTTTTATAAATAAACTTACAGGGTTAATTTACTTCTGATGCAAGTCAAACAGTATGAGGCAAGTCAACAGGCTTAATTACTGAATTTTAATCAGGGTAAATGTGAACTAAAATAACGTCAATATTAATTGCGCATGCGCCAGTGGTTTCTTTATTTCCTTTTTTTTCTTTTATGTTGATAGCAGCTGTTATTAAAATGTTTAGCTGGTCACAGATGATCAGAACTCTCTCTTTTTGGCATATTTGTTGCAGGTGAAAATCCCACCAGGTTAAACAGCTACATCTAGTGGGCTAATGGAGCCATCGCAGGTGTTTTCACCGTTTCCACTGTTGACAGTTGAAAGCTGCTGATACCTCCTTGCTGTTGAAATAATTCAAATAAAGTTTACATGGGAACATTAGAAAAGGTTGCTCCTGCAATTTATTTACTAAAATTAAATATTACAATAAAACAGAAAGAATAAAAAAGAAATACAAAATAAAAACCAAATGTGCTAGTTTATGCCAAAACAGCACTATTTCTTTTTTAAATTGCAAGTGTAAATAAAAATACTCATTGTTCATTTAAAAAATCTAACAGACAGGGTTTACACTGATGATTCATTCAGAGTAACTTTCATTTTTATCCAAATCTTTTACAAAGTTGTGGGATGGAAAAATTAGCACGATGAAGGCTAAAAAACAAAAATGAAGGGTTTCTGTCAGAAGTGACTAACTACCAGATAGGTCTGTTATCTAAAAAAAAAGTCTTCTTTGGGGGGATTTGGAACAATGGAGATATATAAATCCTTCAGTTGAGTCTCATTGTTTTAGGCAGTGAGAAACTGTATTTGGTATAATCACAGTTGGCTGTGTATATACTGTTTTTTCAGGCTTCTGATCCATGGCCTGGTGATTCTGCCAATGGTCTTTTTCTTGTTTGTGAGGCGTAACCCCCTCCCTGTCATGAGAGCGGTCACTTTAGTCACTGCAATGCTGATCTCATCCAGGTAAGACACACACTGAGGGCGGTGTTCTGTTGTAATCAGAGGGTAAGTTCAGATGTAATCCTGGATTTACAGGCTTATGAAGGTGGTTCACTTTTTCCTTCCTGGCTTCTGTTAGGCTTTATTTATGACACATTTTTCCATTTTCTCAATACTGCTACTCGTGTTGCAGCCAGTTTCTATTATTAATTTCTGACATAGTCTGACCTTCTTTGTAAAATATGTTGGTTTAAGTGAAGCCAGATAAAGAAAAGGTTTTAGCACAGGCCCCACAGCTGACCGAGTAAATGTTTTATAATTCCATAGCTGTTCAAGCACTAACAAATGATGTGCTGCCTCTCATAGCTCTGCTGCATTGCCCCTCATGTTTTTGTGCTGTGAGGAGAAACTGAGGATCAAAAGAAAAGTCCCTCGCTTCATGCTGCCCATCTGCACCAGCACCAACATGAACGGAAGCGTCCTTTACGAAGTGGTCGCAGTCGTTTTCATCGCCCAGCTCAACCGCATCAATCTGAACTTGAGCCAGTTAATTACCATTGCGTACGTCAGTATTTCTGTTGGTTCAGGCCTTTAAAAATGCATCATGCAGACTTTGAAGATTCTATATACTTTGCTTTGGTGTGCAGTGTGATGGCAGCAGCCACCAGCATCGGCGCAGGAGGGATCCCAGCTACAGGAGCAGTGACCACTCTCTTTGTTCTGACAGCGGTCGGCCTGCCTGCTCAGGATGCCTCTATTCTGGTGGCTGTAGAATGGTTCATGTAAGTTTCGCTTTCTGTTCATTTTAATGTCTGACACATTACTACTGCTGCCTTTTCACATCTTAAAAACTGTTTGCTGTGTTTGTGTAAAGTTCCAAAGATCTCAGCAAGTTCCTGAAGTCCATGCTCCATCTGTCTTTACCCCTCACAGTCCCCGCTCGCTATTCTCACCTCCACACTCTCCCTCTTCTTCCTTTGTCTTCGGTCAACAGTGCCAAAGTTTACAAATTTACACCAGCACCTTAAATGTGTCATGCATGTGCACATCTGCAAAACTTACAGCTGCCTGGGATTTGTGGCATTGTTGCTCTGATTATGTCATAGCCATTGGCACAGCACCAAAATTACAGAATCTGGTCCTCAGAGGACTGCCTGTTCTGAGATCAGTTTCACCCACCATATTTTGAAATATTTAGCAGTTTAGTGACTCATATTAATATATCCCTTAATCTTTTCCTATTTATTTTGGCCATAGTTGGAGTGAATATCTGACTTTATGGATGATAACCTGTTTGTTTATGTGTCTGCATGTTTCCACATACATCTCTGTATTCGGCTTTTATTCTAACTATGAAGCACTTGGGTTTTGAAAAGTGCTTTACAAATAAAGTTATTATTATGTCAAAGCAGCTACAGTTCTAACATTATGCCTTACCACAAACCAAAAAAGGTGAAAAAACAAAAACTAGTTGAAGTATTAGTGGTGTCCCCTCAACTCACCTGTGCTCAATAAACGGAATGAGAAAAAAAGAAAAGTCAAAAGATTATGGCCAAAAATTTGACCAAGTTAAAAAAAATCTTAATCTTCAGGCTGCAGAGACACAAAGATTTCAACAGAACAATTACCGGTTCCCTCAACAAGGGGAAAGCTATAAGCACATGCATTATTTCTCTATCCTCTCAGGGCATCTCACAGGAAGTGCAAAGTCAGGGTAGAGTAGCCACAAGAGACTGAAACCCAAAACAAAACGGACACTAAAATAGAGCAGATACACTGAAGACACTGCGCTCACTGAGGAAACACAATATTTTCAGGTCAGTGCCAGTCACTTGGGTCAAATTTAGGACCAACATACTGACTGTAAGAAATAGATCTACAGTAAGTCCTCATTAAAACCACAGTAAGTGGCAGTGTTGAGGGAATACGTCCAGAATACCTTTTTCATTTTGTCCCACCAACCAATTAGCTGACCTGAGGCTGCTGTGGCTGAAACGCTCCCAGGATGTGCTTCCATAGTTGGCCATAAGTTTCCTATACGAATGATCCTTCACCTTTGACCTCTGTAAACAGTGCTGAGATAAGTTTTGTGGGCTCAGTCATTCATTTTGATTTATTATGAATTAACCTTATATGTTTAATATTCATACCAACATGGGGAAGCAAAATGCTCATCTCGACGCTTTAAAATGGGATCAACTGGAGCCAGCCTCAAGTGGTCACTGGAGGTACTGCAGTTTTTGGCACAAGAGGCTATGATGGCTTTTTGCGGTTTTCCTCTGTGATCGATTAGTTTGATGTCATTTTAAAGATGCAAATGCAGCATTGACATATGTTCATGTGAAACATGAGACAGAGGTTTTTTCACGTTAAGCAGGGAAATGACGGCAAAGTCAGACAAACTGATAAACTTTATTTAAAAAATAAGTATAAAAAGTCATACAAAAGACTATAAAGAGAACATTTAACTCACAATAATCAAAAGGCACAAGTAACCAACTTGATAAGCCGCACACTGCACACACTGCAGCCTGTTTGGTTTTGTTAGTTCAAAGCTTTCAACAGGCAAAAGTCGTAAAGTTTCTACCAAACAAAATCCAAAGATTGATTTCGTTCACAGCATTTAAAAAAAAGATCTGAAGCTCTGACAGGAAACAACAAATCTGTGCTGCTGGAGTTTTAGGTGGAGTCCTCCTTCCAGCGAACATCGACTCCACTCAGAGGGCATCCAGACCAGCTCTGTCAGCCCTCCTTCCACCAGACCTCCGCAGTCCTGGATCAAAGTTGAGGCACCTCACAGAGTCAGGATCCTGGACCGACGTGGCTTTGCCTAACCATTCCTGCAGAGCAGACGATTTTCAGGGTTTAAAGGCTGCTTCAGGGAGTCTCAGTCGTTGGCAGCTAGCCCGAAAAGCTCCAGCAGCTCCTTGTTGTCCTCATCGATGAGATCAGCCGGCTTCTCCCCGCAGTCGTTCTCCAGCTCGGGGTCGGCACCCAGGGAGAGAAGAAAGCTGAAAGAAAGATAAACCGTCGTCAGTGAAAAAGATCACCATGCTTCAGTGTCAGGGAGCGTGACCTTCTACATCTGTGGAGCCACTGTAAACATGATGTCAGCCTCCTCCAGCTGGCTCACTGCGATTCGTGTGGCTTCCTTGGATTTGCATTGCACACAATCTTCCCTTAAGCTAAACTTTTTAACTATAAAGGAGAAAGTCTCGAGGCTCACCGTGCGATGTCTGGGAAGCCATCACTGCAGGCCATGTGCAGAGGGGTCCATCCCTCCTCGTCTCTCTGGTGGATATCTGCTCCATACTGGACCAGGAGCTTCACACACTCCAGGTTCCCAGACAGGACGGCCTCGTGGATTGCAGCCATGCCTGCTCAGAGAGGAAAGCAGGACACAGTTAGCGCACTGAATAAAGTCTGAGAAGAAACATTTCTACTAGTGTAACTGAGCCTTTCATTTGCGTGGCTCTCACCGGAGTGGTAAATGGTGTCGAGCGTCACTCTCTGGGCTCGGATGAAGCGTCCAATCCTTTCTAGCTCGCCCTGTCGCACATAGTCCTGGAAAAGGATGTCATTGGGGAAGTGGACACTTCGGATTGGCTTCAGAGAAGCAGCGCCTCTGCAGGTGATTGGGATGTCCTGGCTGCAAGGTTTGATTCCCAAGGTCTGGGATGCAGGGCAGTGATAGTATTTCATCATGGTCTCTGCAGAAGTTTTCAAATGCAGCAACTAGAAAAAGATCAGTCGGTCTGTTCTTAGTGTGGCTCTCTTGCTTTCTAGTGAAGAGTTCCTCTGAAGGCCCGGCCTCCCCGTGGGTCTTTTTATACTCTGTTGGGCTATTTTAGGATGCAACACCTCACAGATCCAGTGGCGAGATTTGGAAGATGAGTAGTCCCTCTGGCAGGCCGTCCCACTGGCCTGTCACAAGCTTCACGTCTCCAGACATTACAGCCAGTAACCCTTACCGCTGCTGTCACCCCCACATGCCCAGATGCTGTTCACTTAAAGATAGCGGTGACATCTTGCCAGCTGGGAGGGGGTGGGAGAATATGGAGGCTTCTAGTAAACACCAGGCGGTGTTGGTGGGGGGGGGTCACAGAGGGGTAAGGTTGCTGGCATGTGGAGGCTGTTGACCAGTAACTGCCTGACACAAACAGTCAAGAAAGGACGACTGTCATCATGGTCATCATTATGTGTAACACAGGATGGGTAACTTCCAGATTACTGGGGTTTGCATCATCCTCTTTATCAGTAACGCAGCACAGTCTTCCTCAGACTCCTTAAATGTGAAGATTTGCTTCATTTCACTTTAAGCTGTTTTTGTCTTTCGAGATGTGCGATGCTAAAATACAGATGGATGAATTGCCTTGAAGTTTTGTTCAATGATAATCTCCAGATGAAAAATGTAAACACATTTGTGAAGTCCTCTGACTCCGCCTCTTTTAAATTTGTTTTTAAAAAAAATTTCTCATCAAGTTTGGTATTGAGCCTGTGGTGGCTCCTGGTATCATGTAGAGTGACAGGGAAACACTCGGTGCATTATGGGAAAGCCCCAGCAACCTTTACCTATTGTAGAACTAAGGGATGGTCACCTGATACAGCCTTAACTATAAGCTTGGTGAAAAAGGAAAGTTTTAAGCCAAATCTTAAAAGTACAGCCTGAAAACTGAAGGTGATACACTGATTATTTAAGACCTTGCATGCGAAGAGAAAGATTTTAAGTTCTGGTTTTAACAAGAAGCCAATGAAGAGAAGCTAATATGGGCAAAGTAATAATAAATAAGATGAAGTAAGCATCTCTGCTTAGACAGCCTCCCTGCGAGTTGAATAAATGATGGCGTGGATGAAAAGTGAATGCATGGAGAAATAAAGCAGAATAAAAAAAAAGGCTTTCTGCAATAAAGAAAAGTCTGATGTGAGCCTTTTTTCCCGTCTGGCCCTCGCTCACTGACTGACTCATGGGCGTGTTACAGGATTCAGTGATTCATCATCAGATGGTGAGAATGAGACAGTGACTGCGTGCCTGATCATTTTTAACCACAAAAATTCATCCTGGGGACTTTACATCAGCTAAACATGCACCGTCCTGTGTCCACAGCATAGTTTAATCAGTCATTTAAAAAGTTTAGAAACTGAACATCGACGAACAGGTCTGCGGCTCTCACCGAGGAGGGACAATCACACACTGGGGTTTTTTTTATTGACTAGTTATTTGTTTAACCACTTAGTATGGAGCTTTGAGACCTTCACGGTGGAATAAGACAAACCAGGAGACAACCCAGCCTCTGGAGAATAATTAACCGAGCCACATTTTAGGACTGAGAAACTCCTCGCTCCAGTTTCGCAGGCCTCAGTTTGCTGACTGAAAGGCTGCACTGGGAGGGGCAGAGGGCTTGGACTGTTGACCCCACTGCTGACCTCCAGTATGCTGGCTACGTGCCGGAAAGCGGCACAAACACCAGTCAACGGGCACATTAGCAGCCCTGTGAGGATGTACTGCATGTTCAGCTGATCTGTGAACACAAACAGCTGAAGACGTGCGCACACGATGCATTTCGACTTTGCTGAGATTTAATTTTAACTTTAAATACCATAAACAATATGTAGGGTAGTTTTGATTTATTACAGCATTTCAATGAACTACACGTCTGTCTGTGCTATTGATGCGATTCCAGCATCCCAGTTTGGTCCAAAGTTACTTCAGTAATACCTGAAAC